ATGAACCTGGGCGGAGTCGGGGACTTGACGCTGCGAGTCGGGGTGGGAGACTTGGGGGTCGGGGTGGGGGACTTCGGGGTAGGGGTGGGGGACTTGGGTACCGGGGTGGAGGCCGGGGTCGGGCTCTTCATGGAGGCCGGGGTCGGGGCCTTGGACGGGACCGGGGTGGGGGTTTTGGAGGGAGGGGCCGGGGATTTGGGCGGGACGGGCGTGACGGCGGGCGTGGCCGCTTTGGGCTGTCCCAGTCTGGGCTCCGGGATCTGCTCCCCGTGCTTGTAGACGCTGACGGTGATCTCCACGAACTCGCCGCCGTACTTGTTCCGCACGTTGATGCTGTACTTGCCGGAGTCTTCGGGGGTCACTTGGGTGATGACCAGACTGGCGAACTTGCCGCCGTCGAACGTGACCTTGGTGTGCTCGGTGGAGGAGACCTCCTGCTCGTTCTTGAACCAGGTCACCTCGGGAGTCGGCTCGCCCCACACGGTGCAGGTCAGGCTCAGAGACTGGACGGAGAGGACAGAGGGTCAGCTCGAGCCACCGTTTATCCAGATAAGGCAGGGGTGTCAAACTCCAGTCCTCGAGGGCCGCTATCCTGCAGGTTTTAGAGGTTTCCCTGTTTCAGGACACCTGATTCACGTCAAAGAGCCATTAGCAAAGCTCAGCAATGTCCAGAGGAGATCCAATTTAACCAGAATCAGGTGTGCAGAAGCGGGAAAATGTCTAAAACCTGCAGGACTGCGGCCCTAGAGGACTGGATTTCGACACCCCTGAGATAAGGCCTTAAGCTCGGCCACAGGAACCAAAGTAAAGCTCGTTCACATTGACATTACGGATGTCCAGATCCAGATTTTTTCACTTCCAATCCCTAAACCTAACCGGTCTATCAGAGCATGTATTGAAGTTTAAAGTTATTTAGCCTACTTAGTTAGTTGTCAGACTTATATTGAACAGGGATTTACTCTTATAACCAATTAATGGTTAGGACACAGACCTGTGGGTTAGGAGATGCTAATGCTAATGCTAATGCTCGTGTGGGATCCGATCCAAATATCGGATGGGGACAAGCTTAATTGACATGGGACTTCATTTGACCCCTAATAATACCCACATGCTCCATTCAAAATTGTAGCCTGTAAAGTATTGTGCATCTTACCTGCCTGTGATCAAACGAACAGCTTTAATACAGATAAAGGCTACTTAGCACATTTTTTAAATCAATCTTAAACCAAAAGGTATAAGGTCTGATACCTATTATGCCAGTTCTTCAGTGATAACTGATTTTCTGCCACCTTTTAACTTGTCTTGGCTTGTCTGAGATAAAGATCAAATCAAACTGCATTTCCTTTTTTTTGTTTTCCAGCACTTAACCCGGACACGTCTTACTAGAGGGCTGTAGCTTAAGAGGAAGAGCAACCACCAACCAATCAGGCAGGCCACCTGTCAAATTGTTCATGAATGTGCAGAAGAAGAAAGGACTATGTCGACTGTGTGGACTAAAGTGTGTAATGAGGGTTGTATAGGGTAATTGCTTCGAGTAGATGGTTGATAGTACTCACATAGACTAGAAACGTGCTGTTAAAGTTTAGTCTGTTAACCAAATAATGATTAAATGATGAAATACTAGAATGAAAGATGACACATATGAAGTTTTCACCTTCTGTTCCATGATAGTGACCACATCAGGAAGACCACCAACCACTCTGCCGCGGTCTGAGAAGAGAAGCCAAATTATCATTCCCAAAATGCTTAAGATCTGAACACACCGATGAAAACTGTCCCAGTTCAGACAAGCTTCAAAGGGCACGGTTGAAAAGGGGAAAAGAATGTGACGCGGCATTCACTTTAGCTTTGCCTTGGAAGAAAACAACTTTCCTGAAAAACTAGTCTGAAAATGTTAAGAATGCCTTTGAGTTTCTGCATTATGTTTGGCTCATAACTGAGCCCAGATTCCCATTAATGAAGGCTCGAGTGGATACATTGATGTCATCTCTCATAAGCTCAACGACCGATCCACTTACTCTTCTCAGCAAATGCAGCAGCCCTGAAAGACAGAGGAAACTCAGTATGATTAACGCCATTTGAACTCAATTTGAATGCGCACATTTACAGCTGCTGGGTTATTCAGACTCACTTCAGCCTCAAGTACTCCTCATAGGCATCAGTGTATGCTGAGAGAGAAAGGGAAGAAAGAAGATAATGAATACAAAAATATAAAAAAATAGCTCTGGCAACTTGAAAAGATTTAAATGTTTTGGATTGCTTGCATTTCTGACTACTTTGACAGTTTTATTCATTTGTAAATGACACACGAACACAAAAAATATATAGTCTTCATATTTGTTTTCTGTCTTACATCAATTCATCAATACTTAATGTGCTAATACACTCACTCAGAAAGATAAAATTCAGTACAAAACACAACAAATGAGTGTTTAACATGTAAATGCAGATGTGGAAGGAACATTGCTACCTTGTCCAGAGAGGTCAAACGTGCGGGTGTGGGTTGTGACGCCGTCCGAGATCTCAATGGAGTAGTGACCCTTCTCCTTGTCGGACGGGTCACAGATCTGCATCCAGGCCATCTCGGCCGTTCCACCGATCCTCATCTTCTCAGAGGAGGCGATCTTACTTTCCCTGCGGGTTTAGACCGCCAGTTAAATACAATCGCACAATGTACAATGGGCAGTGACATTCTCTACACTGTTAAAAACTAAAGAAATTCAAAATAAATTAAAATAAAAGGTCCAGCTGGATGTCACAGCATTGATGATTTATTTCAGAAGAGTGTAAATGAGTTCTGATTTTTCTGGTGTATTTTTTTTGACAAGATGATGTGTAAAATTAATTCTCAAACTGTTTAAAGTCAGAACCTGTGATTAAATGTAACATGACAAACACTCATAGTGTTATAAGAATCATTCTTGGTGTGTATGGTGTGGCCTCTTTAACATCTGAGCCCCACTAATAATCATAAAGCATCATTTACTGTGGAGAAACATCAAGTGTTTCCTATTGTGGTACCCAGCTGCTCACGGTAAGACTCTAAAGAACTTAAAAGAAAATCAAATCTACGGATCCGGGTAAAACTGCCACGCCGTACTTGTGCTTCCACACGGTTTTCATCTCCTCTGTGTAGTAGCTCATGTAGCACTGCAGCCTTATGCCCTCCGGAGTACACTGCATCACCAGTTCAGAGGCAGAGGCGCCTGAAACACACACACAAACACACACACCAAAACTCAACGCGAGAGCCTTCGAACACAGTCTGTCAGAGCTGAGGTAGCAAAAAAAGGTAATTTAACATGGGCTTAACATGGCATCTAGGCTCTAGGAACCCAGTCTGAATGGCAAATGAGGGCAAAGCCTACCAGCGATGCGGGCAATGGCGTTGATGATGTCATCAAACACTGCAAACCAAAGAGAAAAAAAACGTGTGAAAACACAGAAAAAGATGAGAAATCAATTCACCGTGAGGGAAAAGGTACCTTGGCCTGAAATTTCAATCGTGGATGTGTCCTTTCCTCTGTCGTCACCCAGCACAGCCTTGTACACACCCTGATCTTTTCTGGAGAACTGAAGAGAAAAGATTACCGTAACAGCGGGCGATGCTGTCATCAGTTCCAGAGAAAGAATGTCAGTCACGTGGTAGCTGTTAAACAACTTCATACTGTCACACACAATATTAAAAAAGCTATATTAGAACCTGTGGACCTTTGTCTCTGTGTCTGTACTCTTACACAGGATGGGACTGGATTTACTGACCGAAGGATGTTTTTCACATAAAGATGAGTGTGACAGTTCAAACATTTTTAAAATATGGTTTTTAGACTTAAACATGTTCTTTTTCTTAGTACTATTAAGCACACTCTCATCATCTCTCACTTTACGGCTCATTCATCTCTCTCAGCAAATTGGATGAAACACAAACCAACACAGAAGTGGAGCACCCAGTTCTATACAGGGTCCCCACACCATCCAAAGTAAATGTTAGATTTAGAAGTTTATGTTACAATGTTATGTGTGCTGTCTGTAGGTTTGTTGTGTTAAAAAAAAATAGAAAATTGAATCAAAGATATTGGAGAAAATAAAAAGTTAGATTTAGAGGTAACTCTAAACTAAGCTTAGTGGTGAGTGTTTATGGTGTAGTGTGTCTATGTGGCCCCGGGATGGGTGACCACCTATCCAGGGTGTAGCCTAGGACCGGAACAGGGTCCAGCCTTCTGTGATCATGCCATGAAACTCAGCCACAGAAACTAGATGGAGGTGTTAAGGGATGGGCATTTTTACCATGTGAAGAGGAAGAGAGCAGGCCCCGGACACGACGTTGGGGGGTGTCTCTGGAACGATCTCATCGTCCTCTTTGTACCAGGAGAAAGAAGTCTCCTTCTTCACGTTGGCCACCTGCCGACAATTGAAAATGACAATTGAGTCATTTCACTTGAGCAGACAAATAAAGAAAGCAAAGCGAAGGACTTAAGAAACAAAGACGAATGGGATGAACAACCAGGGCATCCTTTAGGGGTTAAACCCACTGTTTGGTTACCTTGCAGGCCAACATGACAGTGCAATCCTCAGTGACGGTGAAGTAGAGATACTCAGAGAAGTGTGGGCCTGCAATGGTGAGAACAAAAAATCAGCCCAATGATTCCTGGAAGCGCATCCGTGGGGGGTGATTCTAACCCAGACAAAGCTGGTCAAAACTTCCACAGCCTTCATTTTAGATAGTGTGCTTTTTAGTAAGGGGGTGATGGTACCCTGCTTCCTGATGTGCTCTTTCCTCTGAAACTCGGCTGATTTCAGAGCAGCTTTGAACACTGAAACAGAAAAATGCAGGAAATGCTTCAGTTGTGTTTCCGTTCTAAAAACGCAAATCATCATTTGACACATATCGTCC